AATAAAGAGTTAAGATTCAAGTATTGGTTTTTCACGATTTTATTTGATTACATGGAGGATTTTATCATGAGCTGACATTAGTTAGAGAACCACCGGAAAACCTCCGAGTACTGAACATCTGTTTTGTCCTAGTTTGGGACGCTTCATCAGTACGCACCCACGGGGGTTCAAACCCAGGACGTTCTGGTTACAAGGCGAGCTAGTATACCATTGAGCCACTGGGACCCAACCCAATGATCCTTGAATTCTAACTTCTGCCAATTCACCACATAGCGTGACCATTTCGCAGTGGCTCAATGGTCTACGAGCTCGCCTTGTAACCAGAAGGTCCTAGGTTCGAACCCCGGTGGGTGCGCACTGCTGAAGCTTCCCAAACTAGGGCAAAACAGCTGTCCAGTACTCCCAGGTTTTCCAGTGGTTCTCTAACTGATGTCAGCTCATGATGAAATCTTCCATGCAATCGAAGAGTTAAGAGGTGAGAAAATTGTCACAGGTCAAGTTAAAACGACATTCTAAAGGTCAAAATAGCAATTGGGATCACTAAACCGAATTAGGGAGGTAGTCATGCATCTACCCTGGCGTAAAATCAAAGTTTACCAAGGAAAGTTTAGTGTGATGATGAACTGTTTTTGAACGCGTTAAGATGGTTTGAACTTTCTAATTGCTAGAGCTTCCACAAACTTTAGGATCCACTCTCCACCAAATACGTTCTATAGATAGGTTTAAAAGACGTGTAAACTTCAATCTTATGTCCTGTCTCTATAATATATTTGCCAATAGAAGAGCTAGGTCGTCTAGTCTCACCATCAATGGGTTGTGAGGATTCTATTTTCCTCTGATGCCACTTAGGAATACTCTCTGAAGCCTTTACTTGCAGAAATCGATGAGTGCTTCCTATGTATGTGTGGCCACACGTACATTGTTAATAGTGAGTCCATTGACTTTATAGACAGAAATCAGTATGATAAAACTCTTCGTTTTTCTCTGATAATAATAATCACTTAATTTCAAACAATAATAATTATACAGAATGGAATTTTCAGCGTGTCTTTTTATACATATTGTAACAATTTAGCTCCTTTTATAAATATGTACACCCATAAAATTTAAAATGGTAATAATTATATTAATTATGAAACCATTATAAACAAAATGCTGGTGGAAAAATAATGAAGTATAAGTACATATTATCATAGATAAAACATGCAATAATTATCTTCATGAATACTTTCCAGTTCAGTTACTGATTTAAAAGGTTTATAAGTTCTTTTCTGAATTCCGACTCTTCACACAAAACCCGTGCTAAATGTCGTATGGTAGAATTTTTTTAAATTTTTAGTAGCTGTACGAGTCTTCTGGTTTTACCCGAAGAGCTACAAGGAGGGTACATCTAAATTCAGAAAGCTTACTGGTCAAGTTTTTGATTTGACACTAGTAACTAGTGTGATGCGTCTAGTCCTCTCTTTGGTGCAGACTGAATTCTATCAGTCAGGTTTTAATGTGGCCACCATTCTAGGTAGCTCGCCATTACGGTGTACATTGTTTGTGATGATATTAGATGGTTGGAGGCAATCGGCAGGAAGCCTTGGACCTAGGTTTCGTGCTAGTTGGCACTCATCAGCAAGGCTTATCTGCAACCTTGAAGGAACTGATGTCCCTTCTGTGATTCGAACCCGCGTCACCCAGTGCTGCAGTCAGAGACGTTACCACTGAGCTATTCGAGCTCTGACTGCAGCACTGGGTGACGCGGGTTCGAATCACAGAAGGGACATCAGTTCCTTCAAGGTTGCAGATAAGCCTTGCTGAAGAGTGCCAACTAGCACGAAACCTAGGTCTAAGGCTTCCTGCCGATTGCCTTCAACCATCTAATATCATTACTGGTCAAGTTTCAATATCTGTTAATCAAGTCCGTCATTGTTCTACTAGTATTATTTCCTAAAATAAATGTCCACTTTTTTTATTTAGTTCTATCGGAAATTCTTCTCCCTACTTAGAGGCAACAGATGACCATTGTTAAAGTGAGCTGACTTCATTAATTTATGCATCGACAAAAGTATTTTATAGTAATAATAATAATCTACTTTATTCCAAAAACAGTACTTATAATACAGAATGGAATTCTCAGTATTTGTCACAATATTGCATCTTATTTACTCAAAATATAAATAAAATTAAAAATTAAAACAAAATTAATCGGAGGAATTCGTCCACATTTATGACATAAAGTCAAAAATATTCGAAGCACAAATTGAGATCATTAAATATTATAATAATAACAATAATAATAATAACAGTGAGTTTGTTTCAAACGGTACTGTCAATTCAGCTTGAAAACTTTAGCTTGTTTTAGATTATTGGATCTAATGTTCTGTTGATATAGCATAGTGAGGGGAAATACAAAATTAACAGTTATAATACAGCTTAAATTATGTTCACACTTATGAAAAAAAATAAACAAAATGTAACAAAATAAAGTTTGATGCTTAAAGGGTGAAGGAAATGGTTTATTTAGTGGTGCTAAGAAGGTTAGTTAGTTCATGTCTGCATACTTGGCTGGAATATCGTCGGTGGTACAGCGGTAGAACGCTCACTAACTAGGCATGATGTTCGGGGTTAGATCCTCGGACGACACACTCCTTTATCTGAATAAGCCGGTAATAAGACTAGTGAAGAGGGGAGCTTGGGCATGAGGCTAGCAACCTTCTCCCGTAAAACTAAATACCACTGCTATCGAAACTTCAAGCCTCTATCTTGAAGCCCTATGTTCCACCAGGAACGTAAATGAATACAAAAAAATAGCTAGAATATGAAACGGTGAGTGTCGTTATTCCCCTAGAGGATACATATTAGTCTACAGACAGTCACAGACTGTTAAATTTCCTAGCAGATGGGCTATTTATACCATCTTTTGTAATAAACGGTTGCCATTAAATTAATTATATATATATATCTACATTCATAAAATTCGATTTTCTGTCAATTGAGAAAATATATATACAAAAGTTATTTGTGGCGCAATAGTTCCTGAAAGCGGAATAATTTTAATCGCATTCATTAACATCAGCCTGTCTAAAAGAAAAAATAAAATTTTTATCTCCTCTTTAACTTCGAGATAATATACCTTAAATATTAGTTTATTGATAAATGATCAGATGAATTTCTTTCATCGAAACACGCATCAAACACCTGTACACATAAAGTGGAATTCACACGAATAATAAAAACAAAGAAAAAGGATTCAACCGACGACTAATAAATTAAGGCAGAGTATATCTTGAGCTGAAAAAGAATTTTATTCGTAAACCCTCGTTCTAAGTATAAAGAAAACTTTTAATTAACTAACTCAGTTTTAGGTGGCTGTAATAGAATAAGATAAAAAAAGAGAGCTATTCCCTCTGATGATAGTGTAATTATAAGTGAAAGGTGCTTTTGCAAACTTTGTTGCGCACTTTCACTATTTTGTTAGATCAGCCATTGCAGGAGCATCTTCAGTTTCTCAAAGTCCGATAAAAAAGTAGAAAATTATAAACACACTATTGATTAGTAACTGTTCTGAAATCTGTAGCAAATTGTATAAAGCTCAATAAAAATACAAAGGTAATCTTAACCCTTTTCTTATGCATTCTTCCTTCCCCTTGTCCCCTTTGGCGTTTCGAATGGAACATAGGCCTTCAGGCTTTAGCTGGGAAGTTTTAGTAACGTTGGATTTTGTTTTTACGGGATGCAGTTGTTAGCCTCACGTCCGACCTTCCTTTTTTACCAGGCTGGCTACCGACTAGGCAAGTTTAAAGGAGTGTGCCTGCTGAGAATCGCACCCAGACCACGTGCGTAATTGGAGAGGATTCTGCCAGTGAGCTACCGACCCACATGAAATTATACATAGTTGAATATTTTTATTCCAGGGATCTGTTTGCCTTACGATGTGGTGATTAAGACATTGAATTGTTTGTCTTTATATCTGTTCACTCATTAGACTGCGAATAAAAACTACATGGTATTTGTTAGAAAAGAAATCTGAGTAGACAGAAGCTTTAATAGAACACGAAACGCTCTAATCAATGCTCTTTGTTCAGTTCATTTTAACTGACTTACATATTGCTCAGATAATTGAAGTACAAGTTATCCAAAATTATCCAGATACTTGACTAACTTCACATTTGTACCCCAGGAAGTATATACGGTATTCACTTACCACTGTGAAGTTGATTCATTTTTAAATTCTTATAAGCCAATACTTAATGTTTATTCAACTTCATATTAGTGAGTGACCACCGAGTGGATTTCTTTGGAGTTTTAACAAGCAGTCACAAATGACGACGTCCACTGGGTCACTGGATTCCAATGACCAAAATGCCCATTGAATAATCTGAATGTTTTGAGTTTAATCCCCGACACATCAGTGGAAGTACATTGTTACGATGAAACGGCTGTATAGTGCTTCTTAGCTTCCACTAATTATGTAACTGCTCTCGATCTTAGTTTACATGGAAACTACTTCACAGATTTGAAAACAAACGACTGAACTTCAAATACTTGTCGAATGGTACCACTGTCTTAAATCCCATCCCATGTAGTGCATCAAAATCACCGATTTAACAGTTTTTCCCGATGTATATTTATTTTATCCTTTCGTCTAGTAAAAGCCTTTGAAATTTGGAGTTAGATTCTGTTGTGAATCGATATATACGAGGTGAAGCATCACAATTAATATGTAACGGTATTAGGTTGGGTCTCTTGCGATATACTGTCCATTAATATTTTACTTGAAGATCCTGTATGGGGAGTGAATATTACGCCGCAAAATAAGCCGAAATTCTTTACTGAGAGTAAACACATTGTCCAGAAAAGATCGCTTCTTATTACCAATGTTGTACTTGAGTTTAATGGCATATAAACAGTAGAGTTGCGGTTCAGATTGTAGTCACAAATAAGCCTATTGACAAATGACAGTTTTCTAACCATTTTACATATTTCCATACGTTTTTTTGTTTTTTCTTTAGGAAATTATCTATTCTAGCCAGTGCTAAAGCTCAAAACTATACTATGCCTTCGGATACGATAAATTCCAACTTGGTTGTATTACAGCATATTGGATGTGGTGTTATACCTGATCACGTTTTGAAATTGTTAACTGTGCTAGAAAAGAAATTACAAAAAGGTTTAGTGTCAATCTCAGAATTACTTGGCAGTGAGAAGATCGGGGGTAACAAGAACCTTGATGACATCAAAGTAAGAAATATTAATTTTTTTTATTGACCAATTATAGATATTCGCATATCCTTGAATGTTATGTGTGACTATTCCTAAATTTATGATTAGTTGTATGACAGAGACAGTATATTGAGATATTCCAGGTAAAGACATTCATTCTCTGACAGCTTTGCAGAGTTATAGAAAGAATCACAACAGAATTGTTTTGTCTCCTTCAAACAACACAAGCTTTAACCTAGCAAGTTTTTCTCTCCTGACTCTCTATTTGACAATTTCTAAATTATAAATTTATTTTTACGAGTTGATCACGGATTGATATCAGTTAGGGAACCATTGAAAACCAGGGATTACTGGACAGCTGTTTCATCAGCCTAGTTTGGGAATCATCGTCAGTACGCACCCACTACAGGAGGTTCGAAACCAGCACCTTCCAGTTACAAGGCGAGCTAGCTCGTATACCATTCAGCCACCGGGACCCGACTCCTCAATGGCCAGCTCATGAATTCTAACTTCTACAGATTCGTGATTTAGCGCGACCCCAACCATTGTTGTAGGTGGGACATCCATTCTCACACGTGACATCTGGTTGGACCTCACTGGTCACGACTTGTCACTAGAACTCCAGGAATCTCCATCCTGTAGCAATTCACTAGCAAGCATCAGATTAATTTTCTATGGTTTGGTTTGTAAGGGTTAGTTTTGTTTTTACGAGTTGATCACGTACTGAAATCAGTTAGAGAACCATTGAAAACCAGGGAGTACTGGACAGCTGTTTCAACGGCCTAGTTTGGAAATCATCGGCAATGGTTCAATGGTTCTCTAACTGATATCAGTCCGTGATCAACTCGTAAAAACATAACTAACCCTTACAAAGCGAACTATGGAAAATATAAATTAATTGAAGAATAATTGGTACATTTAGGACCGAAGCAGAAACCATATAAATCACAATGTTAATACAAAATAAAGATTAATTTTTCACTTCGTTAAACAAACGAAAATGAAAGCGATACGAAATCTTGAATTTGCATGAAAATAAGTCAAAAGCGAGCAGAATTTGGATTACAGGATTGTTTGTAGGTCGTTATACACCATACCGATCGTTTTGTGTCCAGAAAATAAGCGGATAAATAAAACTTTTTGTTTTTACAAATAAATAAGAATGAAGGAGAAGGTTTTGTGCAGTGTTGACAGATTGTATTCAACACTTACAGCGTGTCAAATATGTGTGATAGCGATTACCTTTAATTTTCGCCTTCATGCATGATTAGTGCGGAATTTCAGTCGGCTGTCATTTCTATTTTTTTCTGTTTGACAAGTAAACCAATCTACTATGCATTGGAGATTTATGAAGTTACTTCGTAATGGTGCATAGAGAGAACTAAAATTCGATCAAACTAAAGTTCTTGAATAAGAGAAGATTCAGTTAACGAGATTTCTTTAAAGATCTAAAAGTAATGTTTTTCTTTCACATCAAAAACACAAATCGAACTGACTACTATTATTATTGCTCCCTTGGGTTCCTAGTGGAACATAGGGCTTCAACTGCACGTCTCCACTTGTTTCTGTCATGCGCGGTACTTTTCACCTGCATCCATAGAAGTCCATACTGTTTCAACTCCTCTTCACACGATCTCCTCCATGTCACCCTTGCACTGACGTCCCACTCGCTGCTTCCCTTTCGGGTTCCACTCGAGCACTGGCCTGACGCGCGATGTCACCCAGCGAGTGGCCTCCTCAGCGAGTGTCCAATCCATCTCCACTTTCTCCTGCATATTTGTTGAGCGATTGGTTCTTGTTTTGTTTGTTCCCATAGTTTCTTGTTGGTAATTCTTTACGACCATCTGATCTTCAGTATAGAGCGAAGACCGTTGTTGTTGATAAAGGTCTGCAACAGGCTGTTGGAAATATTCTTTGTGACCCACCGCCAAGTTTCTGATCCATCCGTATAGAAGAAGTGACTGACTTGACTTTTGTATTGAAAACCCGAATCATTTTGTTGTTGATGCTGAGTTGAGTGACGAAGATTTCCAGATTGGTTTCAGGTTGATGAATGCGTTTCTCGCCTTCCCGATTCTCGCTCGATTTGACATCCTCGTGTGTTCCTCCTGTAGCTGAGACAATGCTCCCTAGATAAGTGAATGAAATAACCTCTTTCAAATCCCTCCCGTTGATGGTGATTGGCGCTGGATGTTGCTGCTGCTGTTGTTGTTGGTTGGTTGGTTATTTTCATAACCTCCATCTTGTTTATGTTCACCTGGAGTCCTGTCTTCACTGGCTGCTTCTTCGACCAGTTTGTCGGTTTTCGCTTGTAAGTCTTCGATTTTGTGTGACATCAAACATCATCAAAAATCACCCGCGAAATCCAGGTCTTCTAGCTCCTTCACGTCTGTCCAGGATATCCCTGTCTTCTCGTTTCCCACTGTCTGATGCATAATCCAGTCCACCACAATTAGGAATATCATTGGTGATAATAAGCACCCTTGTCTGACTCCTGTGTTTACTCCAAACACCTCACTGAGTTTTCCGTTGTGGATCACTTGACATGTGCTGTTGTCGTACAGCTGTTGAATAAGGTTGATGAATATTTAGGGTACACCGTAGTACTTGAGTAGTTTCCGAATAATTCGTGGTCAACGTTGTCGAAGGCCTCCCCAAAGTCTATAAAGTTGAGGTAGAGGTTTGATTGTCATTCCATGCTTTGTTCGATGATGATGTATCTTTATCATTGAGATCAATGAAAGACAGAATTCTCTTTGCTAACAAATTTGTCGTAAGCTTGTGTGTACTCATCAGTAAATAGAAAATGAAAAACCAACAGATGTATTCATGTTTTCAGTTAGGAGACTTAAGGTGATTCGTACGGAAATAGCATCTTTCTAACATGTCTTAATGAGACATTCTCGATTCAGCACCAGAGGTTGATTCAAACCAAGCGTACGCAGATAAAACTTGATTTAGTTGCATGTCAGTACTTTACTGACAAATAGATTTTCATTCATATTTTCTAAATTGCTACAAACGACCTTCCGCCTTCAGTTCAGTGATTTGTTTTCAGCGAAACGATGTATAAGGGAGTAAACTCACAATGAACTTGTTTGTTTCCCTTCAAAACTTGGTTTGATTTCCAGAATGTTAAAGAGAAAGTTTAGCAAGTCGGAACTTCTGTCTTCAAGTTGACCCTATTATCGTACTTGAAGTGTTTAATATTCGTTTCCCCCCTTCTAACTAATAATCCTCATGGTTTCAATTGGAAATCATAATGTCTTAACGAAATTACTGCTTGACACCACACACGCACACACTCACATTATATCTGATAAGGAGGAGAAGACGGCGGAAAGTCACAAATGTAGATTTCGTGGTAATTAACGCTCACCAACCAGAAATCACAATGGGATAGATGATTCGATAGAATTCAGTCATTATTAAGAACTAAATAAGGTGACATTTATTATTCCGAAATGACAAATCAACGTATATCGACTTCCCTGAAAATCAACGCATGTGTTCGAAAATTAACTAGACACATAAGACCACTGTACCTATACATATCGAAATAAAGCAAAATGAATATGGCTGTAAAACGGAGTTTTTTGACACACTCACATGATAGTAAATGAAATGACTGTCATCATTCAGTATCCAATTACAACAACAGACTATTTAGTCAGTGAGTAAAAGTAGTTTTTGTTTATTACTAAATCTATGACATTTCTATATAGATGATATTCAAAAAACACAATGTGATTCGATCGGTATTCTGTTATTATGACACCAAAAAACTATGTAATAAGACTTAGACAAATATTATGAACATAAATGGTGATTATATACGATAGTTAGAAAATACTGCAATCGCTGTCGCTTTATTGTAACACATAAATGGTATTTTTTGAAATACCTGATAGATGCAAGTCGGCAAGAAAATAAAGTTAGGCAGAACTAGTGTTATAAACAAAAAACTCGAGAACCTTGCTTTTGTTTGTTAGCTGAAACAATGTATTGCTTGTGTATTTTAATCAGATTAGAGGGTATTACTTGTCCTTTCTGCCAGTTTTACCGAACAATGTACAGTAGATAAATTTCAGTGATGGCCCACTGGAGTGTAACTAATTCTTAATGATGCTAATTGAGTTCTTTATTTCAGTGAGCAGTCCCTGAAAAAATTACTATCCCGCAGGACATCAGCAATGTATCGAAGTCTCTCAGTGGTACCTTTTCTTATTTTGGTAGTGGGTGAGTCATGGAGGGGCATCAGTTCCTTCGAGTGCCAATAAACACAAAATCCTTGGTTCAGTGCTTCCTACTGATAGCAGACTACACTATACGAACACAAGTGAACTAATAGAGATTTTATAACGTCCACAGTTGCCTCCGATATTGAAAAACAATATCACTTCCACGCGTATTCTTGGGTGTGTATTTTAGTCGCATTCAGTGAGTTAGATTCTGACTGATCCAGCCATGAATTTAATTCTAATGCTTGTTTTGACACACTTCCCAAACAAATAAACTTGCAAAATGTGGCATCACAATTTTTTTTCCTACACGTTCCCCACTGGAACATAGGGCTTCAAGCTAGTGGCTTGAAGTTTCTGTAGCAGTGTTTATTTTACAGGATGGAGTTGCTAGCCTCATGTCCAACCTTTCCTCTTCACCAGCATTATTTCTGGCTTAGCGAGGTAAAGGAGTGCGCCGGCCTGGGATCGGACCCCGGACCATTTGCATGGTCGGCGAGCGTCCTAACCGCTATGCCACTGACGCACATCACAATTTGGGTTCTTTAATAAAGTGAAATTTTGAGAAGAAATAGTTTCACTATATAACTATCAATCTTCCTTTATACCGTAATAAACAACTGACTCAGTGAAATCCGGTATTCCAATATGAATTGATAATTTGTGCATTTATGCTGGTTGTTTTTTAGAAACGCTACATGAAATTCAAGGGGTAAACACTTTATCTTCTTTATTCATGCATTGGAACCAGATATATAACACTGTTTTACTCTTAGAACTGGTAACTAAAAGTACGACGTTTACCGGTCTGGTTACAGAATTTTAATGTAATACAAATATAGACATAAGTTGTATAAAGTCAACTAAAAGAAGTGCTACATAGTATTTCATAGTAATTAATTGTTTTTTATCGAGAAAAAAGCAGTTAACTCAGATGCATCCTTGTTTAATGAATACATTGTCCCATGTCTATGTTTAACTTTAAATTTAATTCAGAAAACTACCATGACAACGTACATGGCGTCAACAATTCTGACATTTAAACATTCAAATCTGATAGAATCCGTCCACTTTTAATGCATAAAATAAACATCATTTGGTTGAATGTAAAACACTAAATATGTTATTGTTACAAAAAAAATTCCGGGAAGTCGATTAGAAAAAAACAAACAACAAACAAAACAACTATCCTTGTTTATATTGAATTTAGAAATAAAACAAAAGAATATTAGGCGTAAATGTAAATAACAGGACCCCTTGATGAATAAAAAAAGACTCCATTAAATGACAATCATTATTTCACATCTCCTGACTAGTTTAGCGTCAACAGATTTCTGTTAGAAAGAATTTTTTTTAAATGAACAAGGTGACAGTGTATTTCAGTCTGTCTCTATTAACGACATGTATCTTAGTGCAGGGAAATTGTAAAAATTGATATAAAAATAGTAGAATTTTAGACACTGTGGTAGAGTACAGTCGCATAATAGAATAATTTAATTTGGTGAAATAGACAGTGGTACAGCGTTATTTCTTAACTTATGATGTTGCAAGAATAATTTATGGGTTCATAAATATATCACCTTGATAAATAACAGTGAATACCTTTTTGTTTTATCAAATGAAATTACTGAAGCATAAACGTCATTCTCATTTAATGAAAAACAACATGAGACTTACTGATTTCAACTAAGTTATGGTAGAGAGCCACTGGGAAGCTAGACAGTACTGGACATCTGCTTTATTTTAGTTTGCGACTCTTCGGCAGTATGCACTCTCAAGAGTTCTCTAACTGGTGTCAGCTCATCATCAAACCTGAAAACTAACGTTAGGAAATTAATCTGATAGTCACTAACAACTGGCTCTATACAGAAAGTTATCTGAAGTTCGAATAAGACATCGTAACCAACATGGTACACTAGGTCTGGAAAGAGGACACTTACTCGCCCATGATACTGGCTGGCGGCTAAGCTTTATTTATATATATACATATGTATCACAAATCGGCAGAAGCTGGAATTCATGGGCCTTTGAATCAGGTCCCAGTGGCTTAGTGGTCTACGAGCTTGCCTTTTAACCGGAAGGCCCTGAGTTTAGAACCCGGTGAGTGCTTACTCTCCGGAGACTCCTAAACTAGGACGAAACAGTTGTCCAGCTATTCTGTGACTAATGTCGGCTCCTGATCAAACCCGTGACCCATCAAATCCCCGCTAATCAACACTTGTAAGTTAAAGTGCACAGAATTTAAACATCCATTTACACAGAGTAACATTATGTATGTGCTTCGGTAATTCACTGGTAGAAGTTAATCAACCACACATATTTTCCGAATTCGATTCCCGTCCTAGAATTAACCTGACATATAATAAGCTTGGAAAAGAGGGAATATTTTAATGTGAGTATAGAAACCACACACCGTAAGACCGACACCACGATTACTGGAATTTTGAAGCCTGAAGAGCGGAGTGAAAGATGTGCATGAATATGTATCTCTTGTATAAACACAACAATATATTTGAAGACTAGGGTTTGTTGCATGTACATCTAGTGAAACATGCATCTTTTGAATCACCATATCTTCATTCCATTCAGAAATAAGTGATTCTCTTATTAGTCTTTTTCGTTTCCTTAAGTATGACAGATAATATATTTCAAAGGTATGCAAAATGTTTGAGCGATTATTTAATATCGTACAAAGAATATTCGCTTTTGCAGAGCATACTAACAACGCTCTTCAAACTAGGGACTTGAGGAATCATATCTACAATACCATAGTATTAATTTAAACATTTTTGGATTTAAATTTATATTTATCGGTAACGAACTGAAAGCTTGTTAATTTATCCGTAAATCCCCAGTCCTACAGTACAAATGGATACTTCTACTTCCGTAATATTGACAGGCATCATTTCGAAAATAAGCTATTGAAATTTCCTAGACTTTAGTCCTTCATTGATTTTTACACACAAATAACGTTTACAACTGTTCAAAAATTGATGTATTAAATGATTGAAAGTTTGTATTTGCAGTTGTCCTTTCAACTTTGCAAACTGTTGTAAGAGGATTAAAATGATGATTCGAGTGTAGAATAAGTTGCTTGCACCTCTTAATATTTATTCATTATTTTTTTGATTATAGCTTCATTTAACACCGTATTTTTGGTACAGATATGGGATTTTCAGCATGTGATATCGGTAGGCCAAATTTTGCAGGCTGACCATTGATATCAGATGTGGGTCGGCAGGGAATCGAAACCCGGACTATGTACATGGTCGACGAGAGTCCTAACCGCTGTGCCACCGACACACATGGGTTTGGCAGTTGTTATTTCCGCTGAAATACTGCTCACTCATCCTATGACTCTATGCAGTGTGCATAGTTTCCACCGTATGACATATATACATGAGTATGTATTTATCAGTGCGTCAGTGGCAAAGTGATAGAATGCTTGCCGACCACTCAAGTGGCTTGGGTTTCGATCCCCAACCTATGTACTCCTTTACCTCACTAAGCCAGTAATAAGGCTGGTAAAGAGAGAAGGTTGGGCATGAGGCTAGCAACCCAATCCCGCAAAAGTAATAAATACCACCACTACAGTATCTTCAAGTCTCTAGCTTGAACCCCTATGTTACACTAGGAACGTGAAGGAATATAAAAATGTATTTATTAACAATTATCAAGCGAAATCCAACATATTTTGTCTGAGTAAATACTGCTTCCCAAATAATATGTAGTGTGCATTGCCTTCATGAATTTTATTTATGCTTTATGCCAAATCTTATATCGTGCTTAAATGTGAGAGGAGTTAGATATTAAGTAGGGGGGATATAAAATAACTGTGAAATTGCTTGGAGGAAAAACGAATCGGAATTGTTGCGTGCACATTAACGTTAGAATGATATTTGCTGTAACAAGAGAAACTATAGGCTTAGCATTGTTATATATGCTAATTTATCATGACTGTTTATAAGATAATAAAATTCCAGAAAGATACACTTAATCACCTTCATTTTCAACTTATTTTTGAATTACCATCTCAGGTTGAATGTTTAACGTGAAATGACTTACCATGACAACTGATTGCTTCAGTGGTGTAAATCAAAAAAGGCTCTTTATCACAAAAGTCTGATATATTAAGTATGATCTGAAGATCAGAGGTATGGCAACTCTGTGAAACAGAGATGGAGTCAAAACTAGGGATGGCGGTGGATAATGTTTCATTCAGTCTTTAGATCTTAAAGATCAAATTAGCCTGTTAATTATAGCATGAGTGTAACACATTATACTTTTTAACTGCATTAGATTAAATCGATAGGTTCTAATGTATCTAGTAATATTATTTTCAGTAGATCGGTGAACAAACCACTTCTTAAAGTCATTTTCTGATAGAAAAATAAGCTGATAGACAATGTCAACAAATTCAGATATTTATAATGGCATTATTTAATGTTTCCCCAAAGATAAGTTCATCCGGTTTTCTGGTCTGCATTTCTTACTGTTTTTTTGCATTACTAGTATATTTTTAAAATATTATTTTGATAGTCCTTTACAGCCATAACATTTTTGTCATCGTATCATGCTATTTTCCAAATTTTAACAGATAGCTCAGTGGATCGTTGGTGATTTAATTCATAGTACATCTGATGAAACCCTACAATCTTACAATGGAAACATAAAACGAACACTGAACAAAAGATCTGTTTCGTCATCACGTGAAGCTGGTTATCTAGAAGAAGGTTCAGGAATGGCCTCACTTCATCAGTTTCCAAAACTTGACTATCGATCATATCTTGAACATTCAGCTGCTGATATAACTCATTCAAATATACCAAGAGTTAAAAATTATATTACACCAATAAAAACAACAGTTTATCAAATATCTAATATTCAAATACCACAGAACACTTTTCATGATCTACAAGATGGTTTTACACAAAATCTAAAACTCACCTTATTTGCCTCAAATCGAGAAAATATTTCCTATATTGAACTTAAGTCTATGGAGAATTTAAATCAAGCTATTGGTGGGGAAATTACTCGTGATGCAAAACAATGGGTATCGTTTGATGCAAAGAACCAAATTATACGGTTAAAGCCATTACCTGAGCATGTTGGAAATCATACTTTTATTATCTGTGCAACAGATCGTGATCAGAATAGAGCCTGCGGTAAGTCTACATTTATTTGATTTCTGTAATCATTTAATTGCTTCAGTAAAGTTTATAACTGATCTGAACCAATGTATTATAATAACGAATGATATTAGATGGTTGCAGGCAATCGGCAGGAAGCCTTCTAACTAGGTTTCGTGCTAGTTGGCACTTGCCAGTCAGTAAGGCGTATCTTCAAATTCGAAGGTACTTATGTCTCTTCTGAGATTCGAACCCGCATCACCAGCCAGTGCTGCAGTCAGAGACGTTACCACTGAGCCGTTCGGGCTCGCGATTGACCTCCTAAAGGACTGTAGTTGATAATTTCATTGGACACTAGTAACTACCGATTGCCTCCAACCATCTAATATCATCAAATCAATCTGCACCGTGATGGCGAGCTACCTAGAATGATGGCCACATTGCAAACCTGACTGATAGAATTCAGTCTCCACACACTAGTTACTAGTGTTCAATTAAATAATAAATGAGGAAGTATTATGCATGAAAAATATTTTTAAAGAAATACTCTTCAGAAAGCTTATCTGTGCTTGCTTACAAACTGAATTAAACGATGCTAAAAACGGTTTCGCTTGAATTACTCCAGACAAGTTTTACTCTCCCACAATAACAAATCGCTCGACAAGCCTAGAAAGAAAAATCTGGATACAAGTTATGTTGTGAATATTTCACTAAAATTCCGTATTAAGAAACAAAATTATTATTATTAGTATTACTCCCTTGAGTTCCAAGTGGAACATAGGGATTCAACAACACATCGCACCTTCTTCTCTTCTCTGCTGTCCTCTTCAGCTGGCTAGCCACACGACTGCCCTTAATCTCTCATCTCCTCCTCCTCGCTAAACGATTTCCTCTATGTCACTCTCCATTTCACCGACGACCTACTCGTCGCTTCCTATTCACTTTCCACTCGAGTGATAGCCTGCATTGCGCGCTAAGGCATTCGACGGTCTCCTCAATGGCTTATGCTCAATCCATCTCCATTTTCTCCTAAATATTTGTTGTTGAGTAATCGGTTCTTGGTTGGTTTATCGGCAGCCAGAGTTTCTTGCTGCTAATTCTTTCTGACCGGTAGGCCTGCCGGCCATTTGATTTTCAGTAAGGAGCCAGAAAAGGTAGCAACTGTTGACTCACGCACAGTGCAAATTCCTGACCCATATAGAAGGATTGACTGACTGACTTCACATTTGTGCTGAAAATCTGAATCCAGTCCTTTATGTCGTGGATTGCAGTGCAGAAGATTTGCAAACTGGTTTCAGGTTGATGAATGCGTGCGTATCTTTCCTTTCTGATTCTGGATATCTTTGACATCTGCATCCATTCTGTCTGTAGTTGAAACCATGCTTCCTGGCTGTATAAGTGAAGGAAGTAACCTCTGTTAAATCTCTCCCACTGATGGTGATTGATGCTGGGGTTTTGTTTTGATGTTGTTTGAATAATTTTACGAATCAAAATTAAAACATGATAATTATATCAAAACCTTGTTGTAAAATTCAAAATGCTAATTTGTAAGATAATCCTGTAGATGTGGAAACAGAATATTAAGTTTACCAGGTTCTCAACTAATACAATCAGGAGAGCATACTGAATATAATGTAAGCAACGTGCCACTTAACCAGCTTGTTAATATTCTGGTCGACAGGCACATGGACTCATGTGAAAAATGGGCCAAATCCATTTTATCTAACTCACACCACCCTCTTCACTCACAACTCTCCCCTTGCATCTCATCAGGAAAAACCAGAAGCCGATATAGAAAACTATATGCTCGCACCACCAAGTACAGAAACTCAACAATACCCTACTTAGCTCGTGTTCTGTGTGATAAAGAAAGCATTAGGCGTGACACCTGTAATTCATTTAATAGTCAGTAGAACAACTGGATCTCGTCTTTCCAACTCACATCATCAATAGGTAGAACATTTTCTTTCTCTCTTTTCCTTTTCTCTCTCATTTTTTCTCTTTTTTCCGTTATGTGCTGTTTGTTTCTTTCTCCCGCTTACGCCAGTAAATATGATAGCACCTACTTTTCTAACACCTTCAAACACTGTTCAGCTTTGGCTTTGCTACCAACATGTCAATATGTTGTTGTCATAATGAACTGAGATTTCCTTAATTTATGTAGAATTCTATTTATTGACAATGTACTAACTGGATGCAATACTGTAGTAAAAATGCTGAGAATTCCATTCTGTATCACAAGTACTGTTTTGGAATAAAGCAAATTATTATTATTATTTAATCAATGTAATAACATAATGTTTAACTCAAATTCAAAATAACTATAAAGATTGGTGTAGACATTTACTGAATAAACCTTTACCATCCTACATCAGAACAGGTTATGTATTACTATTTTCGATCAGCCTTTAAGTTCAGAAGTACTAAGGAGTGTTTCCTGTAAAGTACAAACAAACTGAGACACATATGCCCTTGCATTTGTCTTATTCTTTATCTGTTTTGTTAAATATGCTAATTCAAGCCACGCCTATCTGAGTATGTTAAGAGTTAATTTATTTTTCATCTGCAGATCTGGTTAAAAATTTATCAGGTAAGCAATTTTCTATCTTTATTAGGCTTCAGTTTAGGAAATATTACTCTTTAATAAAAACAAAATAGACAGTGTTTACTGTGATAATACAACTACTACTATTATCGATAGTGTGACTGTTACAACGAGCTCCATTCCTTTCACATTTGACCAAAGACTTCTTAGGTTTAGACGATAAATTCAGAAATTCCAAATAATAAATATTAGATACCATTCAATAAGCATACATGTTTTTTAGAAGAACAGTAAGTTATGGGCAAAGATGACAGCAAAGACTATTTAGTGTTCTTTGCAATTCACTGATTGATATTAAGTTTATCATCGCTAGCTTCGGTGGTACGTTTAACATTATTTGCCTTCAGCGACGGAGTGGTAACGTCTCTGAATGCAGTGTTGGATGAAAAGGGATTTGAATATCCTCAGAGAAATCAGTTTCTTCAAGACTGCAGATACCACCCCCCCCTTACTGACGAATGATAATGATACTGGAACCTAGGTTCAAAGCTTCTTGACGACTATGATCAGATCGTATTATTGACTCTAGTAGGGAAGATCATCAAACACGTTTCATGTGTATAAATTTATGTTTGCATATATGTAGTTGGCAAAAGTTAAGTTTACCTAGAGTAAACACAAATTCTGAACTGTTTACTCTCGTGTGTTGTCTAATCAATGAATTCACTTTGGCGGATTCAATTTCATCTTTGCTATTTTGTTAATTATGAAAATCATATAAAAGTCTTGATGCTATTTTCGGGTCGATTTTCAACTGGTTTATTGAGTTTCATCTTCATGTGAATCATTTAGAAAATGTGCTAATACGGCAGATGATTTGTACATCATTTCATCGTACCTTCCATATTACTGCGTCGGTAGCGCATCGGCTAGGACTCTCGTTGAGCATGCACATAGTTCAGGGCTCGATCCCCGGCCGACACACACCTGCTATTCGTGATCAGCCTGCAAATTGAGCTACCGATATCGCATGCTGAAAATTCCATACTTGTACCAAAATACGGTGTGGAATCAAACTATAGTAAAAAATAAATAAATAAGATAATATAAAGATTTTTAACACTGGTACACTTTCATTAACGTTTTATCTTGCCATTCACTTAATTTTCAATTGAAACCTCTTGATACGATTGAATGAAACCCAATAGTCGTCTGAAATAATTGTTTCTGCATTCTGCAGTTCCATCCTTTATGATAAAAAAAAGATTGAGTATGACCGTTAACATTTGTTCAATGTTCAATACGGAAAAGAAACGTAATTTCCAGCAAGTTTTTCTAAACTTCCCTTTAAAAAAACGCATTTATTGATCATATAAAACTATTTTATTAAAATGTCCATGCCTTAATGACGATTATAGAATTAAAAGAGAATAAAATCATAGTTATTCAAATTAAAAATTGATTTGATTTACTGTCTCTCTGAAAGCCAACATATTCATTATGAAAGGATCACTCTGAATAAGCATCTAATGCTGATTATGGTCATCATGGAAGTCCAGCGTTTAGTAAACTAATTAAAAACATAATTCTGGGAATGAATACCATCAGTTTCTTCTAAACCTGAATATTTCTAATGCTGGTTTGCAGGGATTTGATTTGATTGGTTTCAAGATTTCATCATGAACCGACATCGCCCAGATATCCATTCGAAAACCTCAGAGTACTCGATAGCTGTTTCGTTTAGCCTAGTTTGGTACTGGCTCCTCGTGAATTATGCACCCGCCACAGGAGGTTCGAATCCAGGACCTTTCGGTTACAAAGCAATCCAGCTCGTAGACCACCAAGCCACTGCGACCCGCTGATCCAATGGCCAGTGCATGAATCCCAACTTCAACCGATCCACGATATGTCGTGACCACTAGCGAATGTCATTGGTAGTGCGTATTTGCCCTCACATCCGACCTGCTGTACCCCAGTGGTCACGACTTCCCAGCAGAACCTCAGGTAACCACCTACCTGAATAGGGCCAGTCGCTAGTGAGCATCCGATTGATATTCAAGTGTTGGTTTTATTGGTTTCAGGATTTTATCGTGAACTGACATCGGTTAGAGAACCACTGGAGAGTCTGAATGTATTGAGTTCCAACTACACTGGGTGCGTGCTGATGAAGACTCCCTAGTTATGCTGACGAAACAGCTGTCCAGTACTCCCAGGTCTTCCAATGGTCTTCTAACTAATGTCAGTTCTTGATGAAATCCTGAAGCTAAATATTTCCGTTGAATTTGTTTTTAACTAACCGAATACAAACAGTTTAGCATTAAACGATATATAATGCACCTAAGAATCCATAAATTTATTTTTATGATCACCTCTGAACAACTTTTTTGTTCTCTCAGCTGTCAATCTGAATAAAACTTTGTTTTCTCTGTGTTCCTGTCTCACAAATGTCCAACATCGAATATGAGTTTGTTTTTTCTTATCAACAAAACAA